TGCATTTGTAACATCCCCGTAATAATTTGGTTGAATGACCATTTTGCAAATCATTCCAAATGAACAAGACAAAACCCTCAGCAGTTTCAGAGGGATGGCTCCTGCATTGTCAGCCTGTAAATAGGGCACGTTAATAATGTAGCGCGGAGCTCCCACGTTACCGGGATGTGAGACACCCTTGTGGTGCGGCTGACTGTCGTGAATAATTCATTTCTTTGCCTGTACCGAAGGTGTGCTCTGCTCCGACAGTGCCCTGACATTTTCATTCATGACAGTCACCCACTCTGTTTGAATAAGAAAGACCAAATTATTTTTCCTCAAAGGGCTTACATTACACGTATGTCAGAATAAAAAAACAAAACAAAACAAAACATGCTGCTTCACATAATGACTCAGTTGTGATTATTTAACAACTGCCCTGAATACGTGCTCAGACCTGGAGGCTGGGGGTAGTGCCTGGGAGGGGAGGACTTAGTCATTTGCCTCAAATGTTGCGGGGCGGGGGGAGACTCCTCGAAAATAAAGACATTATTGTTCTTCAAACAGTATTTTTTGCACCATATTAGATAGGAAATGAAAATTTACTCTGATCACTCTCATGTTAATAAATACTAACTGTACTTTAAACATCCCTAATACCGCCCAGGTCAACTATAACCTTCAATATTGTATTTTGGGGAGGGGGGCAAATATCAAAGAGAAAGATTTATCCCTGACCCTGTATGAATTGACTTTAGTTCTATTTTACAGGTGCTTTGTATTTGTAGCACTGTGTTCTGACTGTTCTATTACGGCATGCTTTGGTGCAAGCTACTTTACATTTGCATGGGTTCCACCACACTGATGCCGGTGTTTGAAAGGAATGCGAGTGCTTAAACTTACGAATGCAATCAAATTGGATTCATAACATTAGACTGTAAATGATGATAAACTACTGCTGACCTCCTAATATGGTCTCGGCATTTGCAGTCCTCTCGTCTCGGCCATCTGAGTGGCTGGAACTGCAATGAGGGTTCACCACCCCTGCCCTTTAGGGAGACCAGGAAATGAACCAGACCTCCGCTGAAGCCTCAGCCACCACCACCACGGGGCCCAAAACGTGTTTCAGAAAGTTAGCCTTGGGATCAGCAGTTACCGTAATGGCTAAGTAGCTAGACTCCCATTAGTCAACCGCGGTTCAAATCC